AGTTTTTATACTCTTATTTTTCTACATTAAAAATTGAGTTTTGATCATAGTTTTAAAAAAAAAATACTAAAAAGATTTTTACTTAGGCCCTCATAAAATTAAGAGAAACCAAATGTTTCTATGTGGCATTTGTTGTTTAAAGTTTAACTATATTTGTATGTATTTGTTTTATATAGAAAACATTCATATTTATATTAATGTTCTACATAGCTGGTTATTTCTTTGTTTTTTATTACGACTTGTTCCTTTTAACAATTTTTTTTCTTCAGCGAGCCATAACAAATATGCATTTCAGCAAACATATTCATATACATATAGCCACATTTAGTTATAACTAATGGTTTTTAAACCAGCAGCAAAAGGAGTCCTTAAAATACAATACAACAACAGAGAGTGTGTGTGTGTAAAAATATAAAGGATTGTTATATAAGACAATATGATATGTAATACATTCTGATACACAAATTCATCTATATATACATATATAAATGAAAATGCGTTTATTTCGAAGAATTTTAATGTATTTTTTGATATACATGCAGTTATGCTGTGAACTCATATGTATGTATATATGTATGTATGTATGTGAACACATCATCACATCTTTTAAGTTTCCTTGGTTCATTTTTAAATTTCTTTTGCTCTTGTTCACAATTTCTACCATGCCACAGGAAATTGCTTATGTTTTGTTGCTACTTGTTCTTGTTTTTTTTTTTTTCTTAATATTTTAGCTTTTATATCTTATTGTGTCCTTGTGGTATAAAATACCATACTTTTGCTATGGTAACATTTATGCAACCATGTATGTATGTGTATTTGCTAGCAAAAGTACCATATTGTATTTGTATTTTTAACATAAATACTTTTTATTACAATTTTTTCTTTCACTTTTCTTGCGTTTATTTTTCATTTTACTCTTATTTGTTTCTTATGTGCTGCTGCAGCAACATTATTGTTTAATGTTGCTGTTGTTGCTATAGTTGTTTTATTTTAATAATTTTAACAGCAAATTTGTTTGACTCAAAAGATGATGAGCAAAGCAACAAAAAAAAACAACACCGAGTAAAACTAAAGAAAACTTTTTATCCTTGTTGCTGTCAGCATGTATCCTTTCTTTGTTGTATATTTCTTATTATTCAAAATCAAATGAGAGTAAGAGTCCTTTTTTCTTGTAAGTATGTGTGTATGTTGTGTTGTAGCTGTTGTTTCTCTTGTGCTTATTTTTTAGTATTATTATATTTAGTCATTTTCTTAATAGTCTTTCAAATTTACAAAAAAATGATAGAAGAAAGAAAACCCCTAGAATATGTGTTTGTTGTTCAACACTTTATGGTTATTCAAAAAGTTTTTTTTAAAACTTTTTTTCTATACTTTTTGACTACCACTTCTACCACTACAATACAACTAACACTCTAACACTTCGACTACCACTACCCTGCAGTTTGGTATGTGTGTTCTCAGACCTTACTTCTGGATAATTAATTCTGCTATAACGTACTTCTTGTGTGCGGATAGATTACAAAAATTACAGAAACTGGTAAAAAATATTCCATAAATATAGAATCTAATTGTTATTTGTAGAAAAGTATTGCCAAAAATAGATAATCCTTTAAAACAGTTGGGTACCACTCATTGGTTAAAACTGCATTCAATATTATTTATTTAGAGCAATATCTAGACATTTAAAATTCATACAATATGTTTAAACTATTTTTTATTTATCTTTTTTTTTCTCCTGCTACCAATTTCATTTTTGAACTTTTTGTTTTACTTTGTCGAAATCTAACAGCATGAAAGTGTCCAAAAAAGTTTTCGAAGACATGAACAAGACATTGTTGAAAAGTTTAAAGTTCAGTTTTAGTTGTCGTGTTCTTATTATCCTAGTACGGGGAATAGATGTAAACAAAATCTAAGGATTAGTTTGTATGTACCTCCTACTGCTAAAGGTTAAACGATTCAGGATGCTTGTTAATATGGGGAGGAGGTAGAAATTTTCGTTTGTGTTAGCATTTTAAGTACATCAACATAATTGGCATACTTTTTGGGGACTTTAAGTATACATATGTATGTATTTAAAATTTTCTCTATGTATAGGAAAATATTAGTTTTTTCTGATGTCCTGTTAAAATGAGAGTACAAGAGTTTGAGATAAAAGTTTGAATAAAAGTATTTCAGCAGAAATCTGGAAATATTTACATAAAAATAAACCCTAAATTTGGCTTTAATAAATGAGTTTTTCATAGATATTAAAATTGAATAAAGAAATTTATTCCGATTCTGAAATAAAATCTGCAACCTGGGGAATGTGACAGACATCAAATAAACGGCGACAGAGACACGACTAAGACTACAACAAAATATTTAAAAAATCGTAACTACTTCCTTCGTAATACCAGGTAGATAAATAGATAGATACTTCCTTATATAATATCTACGATAGATAGGTAGGTAAATAGATATATATATATATATATATATATGTATATATATATATATATATATATATACAGTGGACGTCCAATAGTACGTACACTCTTTATTACGAATATCCAATAATACGAATGGCAAAATTGTTGCATTGTCTACTCTATAGTACGAATAAAGTCACAATTTTTCTGTTCGATAGTACGAATAACGCATTTTTTATGGGAATTTTGGTTTTATTTACGTATGAATGAAGTTTTTATTATGTTTTTATTTTATTATTTCGGTATCATTCACCTTAAGCTCAGTAATTTTGAAGTTTTTTTGTATTTAATACAAGTGTTTTGTATTTTTAAAAATCCTATACACACAATTTACGGCATGTATATTTACAAATCAACAATTATTTAGTGTTATTAATTTATTTTATTGGAATTTTGATCACCCAAGAGAAGAAATTAAATTGGATGATAACGCCAATGAGGAAAGTATTTTATTAGTTCCCGACAATAACTCTGCTGAGAACAATATTGAAGCCTCAAAAGCGCTGTTATTGAAAAAGCCGTAAGAATCATTTTACAATGTAATAAACATCGATGTTAAATGATGGATTTTTTAATAAGTAAAATGATATTTATATACATATGTATGTATGAACTGTTAATTTTGAAAGTAGTGTGACTCCACATTCCAAACAATGGGTTTAAGGATAACTATTCTAATTTTTAAGAGAAAATTATAAATTAGAGAATTGTGGTATATTCCATTCAAGTTTCTAATAAATGTTTTATGTAATCTGAACATTTTAATACATTTTAGAACACATATGTAAATTGCAAATTGTCTTTGGCACACATCTTTTTAAAAACATTAAAATTTAATACCTTCTACATATATCTCATTTCAACCATTGGACTCACGATACTTTCAAAATTAACAATTCATATACGTAAATATGTCCCTTTTATGCCTGTTTATGTACAAGAAATTTATTTAAAATAATACACATTTATTATATTTTGTTCCGTTATGTAATTTTTCATGAAAAATAAAACAAAAATAAATAAAATCCAATATTTTATGTGTATTATTTGAATTTAAACATACAAAATGTGTTGTTCAATAATACGAATTTTTCGGTATTACGAAAGGGCCTGACACTATATAATTCGTACTAGTGGACGTCCACTGTATATATATATATATATATATATATATATATATATATATATATATATATATGTATATATATATATATATATATATATATATATATATATATATATATATATATATATATATATATATATATATATATAGATAGATAGATAGATAGATAGATATATAGATGGATACTTAGATAGATTTACTTTTTAAAATTATACTAAAATATTTCGTTGTGCAAAACAACGCAACATTCGTACAATCTACGATATTTTTCTTATATATTGCGCATGGATTATTTTCAGTGTAGTAAACTAATACTTTATTATTTTAATACAAAGAAAACACTTAATGTTTTAAGAAGAAAATAAACACAAAAGTAATATTTTTCGTAATTTTAATATAGTTTAATTAACTAGTTAATATTTGAGGTATGTCGACATAACACCAAAATATCCTTTATCAAAGATACACTCATACGCTTATAAGCCCACACAAGGAACAACAAAGTAGTTAAACATTTGCAAAAAAGAGCTGAAACAATACACGTTATGCTAGGATGATGGCATAAAATTAATTGGTACAATTAAACATTTACTGGTACAATTCAGATTTGAAAAGAACTATAAACAAATTAAAATTAAACTACGTTTTGAATATACCTGATGTGAGGATATGGAATAGGGGTTAATTTAACATTTTACAGCTTCTAGAAATTAAAATAAACTCTCAAAACTCCGACTATCAAATTGTACAGGTACAATTTGTAATTTCATTTCGCATCACTGATAAAAGACAACAATTTAAAGTGTAAAATTGCCGTAACTAGCATAGTTATGGTAAAGAAAAAAAAGACAAGTATGTAACACAAACCACAATTACCAACACTTAAAATATGCAACTCACACTTATACCCACAACATGTAAGTGGGTAAATTGCTAAGAGATTGTAAGAAAAATTACATGGTATGAAAAAAACTTCCTTTTTTTGAGGTTTGTTTTTTACACTTTGTATTAGTAGTAAATATAAAAAAACTCACACAAACTTGCACACTACTAACTCACCTATTTTTGCAGTGGTAAAAGGATAAAAGCACTTTTATGTTTTAAAACACCTATTCTCACACCCTTAATAAAAGATTGAAAGAAAAAAGCAACATATCAAAAACAACAAAATCTTGCCACAAACAAACACTTTTACCAGTCCTAATAGCAACAAAAATGCAAAATAATGCACAGCAATGTTAGTATTTAAAGGAAAAAAATTTTGCCCCTTGGGCTAAAGATTCTACAAAATACAATATTTACAGAATAAAGAGAGAGTGTAAGAGAGGGTGAAGAGAGTAGAAAACATTCACAAAATTAAATTAAAATTAATCAAACCCCCTTTTTCATTCTATAAATATATCAAGATATTTGGACCAGGCGGTGCCAAAGATGAAGATTATGATGATCCACCGGTAACATTGTTAAGGGGACCTCCAGGTCCACCTGGCAACCCTGGCAAGGATGGTCGCGATGGCAGAGATGGTGCGAAGGGTGAAGCTGGTGAACCCGGCGAACCTGGCTCTTTAGGTCCCCGTGGTTTAGATGGTTTACCAGGTGAGCCTGGCATAGAAGGTCCACCTGGTTTGCCCGGCTATCAAGGACCACCCGGTGAAAAAGGTGACAGAGGTGATATTGGGCCTCCTGGTCTAATGGGTCCTCCTGGTTTACCTGGACCCCCTGGTTATCCTGGCGTTAAAGGCGATAAAGGAGATCGAGGTGACTCAGTGAGTATTTAATTATTATTTTTTATTTAGATAGTTTTTTGATTAGTCCTTTCACTAGAAGTACAGAAAAATGCGTAGACGTCAAGATCAGGATGGTATGTCAGATGCTCCACATATGCCCACCATTGAATATGTAAGTAAATTAAGAAATGATAAGATATAGTGAAGTTTTTTTAATGCATTTTCTTTTTAATTTTAGTTGTATGGTCCTCCTGGACCTCCAGGTCCTATGGGTCCTCCCGGTCATCCTGGCCAGACAGGTGAAAGAGGTTTAGATGGCCGTAAGGGAGATCCGGGCGAGAAGGGACAAAAAGGTGATCAAGGACCTATGGGTTTACCGGTAAGTTTAAAAATCCTTCTTTATATTTATAATGTATTTTTTAAGAAAAATAAAATAAATAGAAAGTATTTGAAATTTAATAAAATATAACTAGGTCGAAACATGAAAGCAATTTTGAATGCGGAAAATTTTATTTTATTAAATACTTCTTAATTATAATAATATAGCTAATATAACTTTTCATTATCTTAGGGTCCTATGGGTATGCGTGGTGATTCCGGACCAATGGGTCCTTCCGGCAAAGCTGGTTTACCGGTAAGCAAATAAATTTTATAAAATTCCATGGCTTTGGCAAATTAAACAAAAACAATAACTTTCAAAATTTTTGTTGTATCTAACTTCACACTAGCTAATTTAAATTAAGTTGTAACTAATATCGTAAAATATATTTTGTTATTTTTCTCTCTCTCTCTTTCTTCTAACAGGTGTGGGGCAACTACTAATCCTAATAATACAAGAAAATAATAATTAAATTAAAAACAAACAAGTCAAACAAATATTAACCCTTTAAATACAAACTTTACACTAGCACTTAACGCTAAAAATTGCAAAGAGAAAACACTTTAAAAATCAAAGTGTTTGAAAAATCTAAAAAATTTAACAAAGCAAACAACCTTAACAAACTGAAAATTATTCAAAACGAAATCAAAATTTCCTCATAAAAATCATCATCAAAAATAATTAAAAAAAAAAGAAGCAACTTCATAATTAAAACAAATTTATAAATACATAACACATAAATGCATCTTTATAGATATAATTATAAACACATAAATAACATTTTCTTCTTTCATTAATTGAAACAAACAAATTACAAACATTTAACAACATTATTTTGAAAATATGCCAGAAATTGTATTTAACATGAAAACCAAACACAAACCCACTTTTAGAGAAAAAAAAAAACAAACTAAGTTAAATTAATATGTAATTTATAAATGAACAAATAACTATATAAATACTAAATGAAACAGCTTTGAGTGTATGTTAAACTTCCCCCTACTTATACATATAATTATCACAAAACAACAAAAGTTTAAAGTTCAAATTACAAACCCAATCATATCAATTAATTAAAAGAAACCAAAAAGGATTTAAAATCAAAAGTTTACTTTTTTCCCTTTGAAAAAATAAAAACCTCACAACCACAAAGTTACACATTTGTAATGAAAGTAGAAAAAATAACGAAGATTATATATTTGTGTTTTTAAGTTAATTGCATAATTTAGCAAATGGTCTATTTAGGGTTCCAATATAGTACACACTGGTCAATAAAATTTATTTTAAATTAAAAATTTAAAAATTTTAAATTAAAGTTTGGGTGGTGTATATTACAATGATTCTAAAATAGAATTAATATAGGAATGAATTCAATAAGGAGTGAATCAGAAAAAACTTAAACACACTTTTCTAGCCAAAACTTTTTGCTGGTCCCACAAATAACATTTTTTGATCACGTTAACTTTAAAATGTATGTCAGATACTTTTTTTAAATCCATAATTTTCAATTTTTATTTCGGTCAAAATTGGCTTCGAGAAAAAAGTGCGTGAAAACCTTTCATAAAAAACGCAAAAGATATGAAGGTTTATCGTCACACTATTTCAAAAGCTAGCACACTATTTCAGGTCTAGCAGATATTGAAAAGAAAAACAAAGTCTAACAACTGTTTCGAAGAGCACCAAAGACTTCTATTTGATTCAGGAATCGAAAATTCAGTTCTTTAGTTCCTTTCGATATCGATAAATGCCGGTATCCCCACGACATTTTCGGAAATTTTTCTCACTTACAAAATTTCGGTGAACACAGTAGACAATAGACCTATTTAAGAATATAGCCTAATCTATAGGCTAGTTCATAGCCTAGTCTATAGTAAGGTCTATAGCCCAGGCTTATAGCCTACTTGTCTATAGTCTAGTTTATACTAGTCTAGTCTATAGTCTAGTCTATAGTCTAGTCTATAGTCTAGTCTATAGTCTAGTCTATAGTCTAGTCTATAGTCTAGTCTATAGTCTAGTCTATAGTCTAGTCTATAGTCTAGTCTATAGTCTAGTCTATAGTCTAGTCTATAGTCTAGTCTATAGTCTAGTCTATAGTCTAGTCTATAGTCTAGTCTATAGTCTAGTCTATAGTCTAGTCTATAGCCTAGTCTATAGCCTAGTCTATAGTCTAGTCTATAGTCTAGTCTATAGTCTAGTCTATAGTCTAGTCTATAATCTAGTCTATAGTCTAGTCTATAGTCTAGCGGTCTGGCGATATTTATACTCCCAACAATACTAACAACAATTACTACAATCTTATTAAAAACACAAAACTACTTGTTATAAAATTTAACGCAGAAAATTATAGATCTCACAACCTTACTTGCTACAACTAATTGGCAAATGTAAAGACTTTGTTAAAACTTATTTGTGTATTAAAAATTGTTTAAAGGAAAATATAACGAAAAAACACAAGATTTAGGTACCGTCCATGGGCTTTGACTTAATAATTATAAATAAATAAAAAGGAATAAAATGCCAAAGCTTCAAAATAACAAAAATCCAAAAGAAAACCAATAAAAATAACAAAAATAATTAATAATGTACAATAACCTACAAAAAATAAAACATTACAAAAAAGCAGTGGTAAATAATTTGTAATAAAATTAATAATTAAATATTTAAAAGGTCAACAAAAAAATTGGAGTTTACAAAAAATATATATATACCACTGCTGATTAAATAAACAAATAAATACATAATTAGTTAGATAGGTGTATGATAATAATATTCACAATATAACAAATTTTTAATTTTATGAATTAAAAAAGAAAAACAAAATATAATAATAAAATTAATATAAACTAAAGTAAATAAATAAACCTATTTTAAAAACCAAATATGGAATGTGTGTAACAAATTACAAATAAACCAGAATTATGGGTTTCACAATTAAAAAAAAAAAATATAGAAATTAAAAAAAAAACTAATTTAAAACTTTGAATAAACATAGATATGAAAATAAATAATTCAACAAACAAAACTATAAATATAATTAAAATAATAATAATAGAAAAACAAAAAATTATTTTAAAAACAAAAATATTCATTAGAATATGTTTATTTACATGAAATTTATAAAGAAAAAATGACAGGAACAAACAAACAAAAGAAAGTCAAAGAAATATCTAAAATAAAGTTAAATTTAAAACGATATATACACAACTGTAAATTTGTAATAAATATAAATAATTTATTAAAATAAAGTTTCCTTCCATTTTTTCTCTATTTCTTAAATATCTTATAAATATTTACATGACTATCTATCTACACATACAAACCTAAAACCTAATAAATATAATAAATAAATAAGTTCTTATATTAAATGTCAATTTTGTTCAATTAAAAATTATATACAACTGCAGAAGGAAAAAAAGAAAAAAAAAAATAATTTAACCCTATTAAACCCTAACAAACATTTTGAACCGCATGTCAATTTCTTTTATGTAAATAGTTATTTAATTCTTAATAAATTCTATACGTTTTAATTTAAATCTAAACTTGAACTTTACTTAATTGACATAAACTATTTCAATTTAATAAATTCTATATGCTATACATAAATCTATGAATTTTTCCTTAACAACACATATTTATGCTTTCCTCTAATATTTACTTAATGATCATAACAAAATTATATTTTCAAATAATTACTCTATCTCTATCTTTCTCTTACACTCTTTCTAAATACTTTAAGTATTTTTATAAGATAGTTAAAAAATAATAAATTTAAAAATAATGTCGAATAAGTTGAAATTTGCAGAATAAATATATAATTACACTAGTCGAGAGCACAATACTTTATAAATATTTTAAATCCATTCTAGGACAAAGATTTATAGATTTTCAAAATAAAACTGAAACTATTTTAAAATCCGAAAGATAATATTTATATAAAAATGATACGGAATTGCAAAATATATTCCTAAAACTGCAATTTAATATTGTAATCCAATAGCAAATCTAATATTCAATTATTAAATTAAAGTAAGAAAAGCTAACAATTGGAATTTATATATCGTCTAAAAGGATTTTTTTATAAATTCAATGAAGACCATAGTATATCAAACTAATATCGCTAGTGTAATTTATTGTTATCTGCCAAAAATAATATAATATTAAAATAAAATCTATGTACATTGTATTTATAATTGTTAATATTTGATAAAACAAAAACGTTTAAAATTTTCAACTTAAAAAAAATAAATCCTCCCTCTTTCCTATCCACTATATATAAACAAAATATTTCGAGATTTACTTATATATACATAAATATAAACTATATAATTATAAATGTACTTTATCATGATTTTTAACATTTTCATTTAAAATATACATACATATATTTTTTGCAACAATAAAAATAATAATTACAACTATTCAAAAGTTATTATGGCAAAGTAAAATGAGAATGATTATTTTAATTTAAAAAACGTGCTCTGCAAAGCATATTAAAAATTATATATATAAATGCATATATTACATACAAGAAAAAGTTAAAAAAAAAAGAAAGAAAAATCTCATGGAATGTAATTTGTAATTATATGAATGGAATTGCTATGTAAGGGAGTAGAAAATATGGAATATTAACTCTAAAGTATTACAACTTTAATGTTTATCAGAATAAGGAATGAACAGATGTCAAATAACACAAAAACAAACGTGAACAATTATAAAAAAAGAAAAAATATTATTGTGAATATGTTTCTTCTTTTTTTAGTATTAAATGTAAAACATTTCATAAATTATTTTATATTAAGGATTTAGTATGTCTTTTCATCCTTAGTTAAAAAAATTATATTAAAAAACAATAAAAACAAAGAGTTACTTTTGTGTATGCATTATTCAATAAAGTGATGAGTTTTTTACAGAAAGATAAATAAATATAAAAAGCAAGTTTTTTTCATATATGAATTGGGAGAGTTGTTTATATGTATGTTAGCAATAATATATTGGGAATTGAAGATTATAAAATTAACATTGCACGATTTTTTATTCATTAATATTATTTTTTATGTTTTGTTTAACAAATTGTATATTTTTTATTTATTCTCAATTTTATTTTCAATAATTAATATTATTATATTTACCTTAATTAATTTATAATTTTATTTGCTTATGTTTTTGTTTATTTATAATTTTTTTTCTTTTTATTTCTGTTTACCCCCACCTTTTAGGGTCCACCTGGTTTAGATGGCATGAAGGTGAGTTGTAATGAATATATAATAAATGTAAAAATTAATTAAATAAATAATTATTACAGGGAGCTCAGGGAGAAACTGGTCAAAAGGGTGAACGTGGTGATCCAGGTCTACCGGTAAGTAGTTTTAAGTTTGAATATTACAAACACAAATTATTAATAACTTAACGTTTTTTATTGTAATAAACAATACTGCATGTTAATGGTTTTTATTTTCTTTTTCACTCTTTCTTATCTCTTTATATTTGAAAACACCCTTCTTCTATAATTACAACTTAAAAAAAAAACTTTATACTAACTGAAAATGTAAATGTTATATAACTGTGTGTGTCTTTACCTAAAATGTTATATAAAATTAAAAAAAACAAAGGGTACTGATGGTATACCCGGTCAAGAAGGTCCTAGAGGTGAAAAAGGTTCTAGAGGTGATCCAGGACCACCAGGCAAAAGAGGACGTAAAGGTGATCGTGGTGATAAAGGTGAACAGGGAGTACCGGGATTAGATGCTCCCTGTCCCTTGGGATCCGATGGTTTACCATTACCAGGCTGTGGTTGGCGACCACCTAAGGTTAGCATGACTTAAAAACATTAAGAAACAAATTGGTATTAAAAAAAATATATAAAATGTTTTTAATTGGTTTTGGCTAAAATTTGTGCATGCTTTTTTACAAAATATTAATATTAACGCTTTTTAACTAGTACTAACAGTAGATTTTTCTAACGATTTTTATAATATTTAGGAACCGGTTATTTCAACTCCGGTCCATAAAGATTATTTACCCGATGTTACGGGTCCTGAAAGTAACAATGCCAGCGATTATGAACAAGAAGAGGAAGATGAAGAACAAAATGAAAACGAAGATGAATACGATGAATATCAAGATAATTTACACAATGATTAAGGCAAACTAAACAGACTATTAACAAACAAAATAAAATGAGCATTTATGTATTTTAAACGAGAAGAAAGAAAAACTAAAAAGTGCTAAAAGCCTTTTAATAATAACAAATATAAACAAATTTAATGCATTGTACACACAACACACATACGACAGAATAACAAAGCAAACACACTGCTTCTCTTCAAGCACGGTTACCTTGTAAAAATGGCTATTAAACCATTAGCACCTGCCATTCTTACACCTTTTACTTAGGAAGGTGACATTTGTAATTAACAATATATGTATCTTTGTGCTAAAATTGAAAAGTGTTTACTTTCACTCTAATGGATTTCAAAAGAAGCTGACAGCAAGCAATTATGATGTAATTTACACTATGATGTAGTCTAACATAAAATGTACACACACACACACATACACTCTCGTAACTTTTAAAGTAGTTTTACTAATATTTAAATTAAATATTAAATAATTTTATTGAAACACTAAACATAACGCACCAGAGCACCTATAGAAAACGACGGTTTTTCTTTATAACACAATTTCAATTGGTGGCGGCTGTAATCATGCTTTTAATAATTTGTAATTTGTTTATTTTGGTGGCAGTAAATTTTTGATTCTAACAGTAAAGTATTAATTAAATTTTTTTTTTGAAAGAAGGGTAACGAGGAAATGTGGTTATTGTTGTAACAAAAAAGATTTTTGTTTTAAATCATGTTTAATTTTGATATTGTTTAGCAATTAGTGCAAATTAAATGGAACTCATGGGATACACAACATTTCATTGTATTCACAAGAAAGGGCAATTGTATCGAATTTAATTTATTTAAATATTTATGTTATTTTATTTAACAAAACTAAGTTTTTAGAAGAATTAAATATGTTTAAAAATAGTTGTCCCATTCACAATCTTTGTGTCATAAAAAAAATTCAAATAAAATTTTTTGAAGCAGAAACAAATCAATAATACAACCATACAACAGCGATTATGAATTGGAAAACTACACATACATATTTTATATGTTGTAGTTTAATATGCTATCAAAATCAAATCATACAATATAATGGGTAAAACCTGTAAAAATTTAGCACTAACAAATCTATGCCAAAATTCTTACATTCTTCTGAAATGTGTAAAAATCTTATCCATGAGTCCATATGACACATCATAAAAAACAGTCATTTGCATATTATGGTTTCCCTAGTAATACCAAATGTAAGAATTTCAATCTTCTTAAAATCTTAATCAATTTCCAGAACAAACATTTATCAACTATTACCAAAACAAACTTTAGTTTGATATTAACTACAATGTATTTTCCAGTTATCCTTCTTATTTAATAAAAAAAACCTATATGTGCTTTCCAAATTAAAAACTAAACTAAAAAATAAACTTTAATTAACAAATAATTCTTTTACAGGATAATTGGCAAGAATGGCTTAGGGATGAAATTAAAGTAGTAATCAAAACTATGCCAAAAAATGGTCGCCGGTAGATGATGTTGTCTTATATCCCAAATCCCCCGAAATATAAAACTTTCCTAAAGCTTTTCTATTTAGCTAATGGTAGTTAATAATAAACATTTTTAAAATGCAGCTTTAAAAAGCCCTAAATATACTGAATAAATCTTGCAATATTTTCTAATGATAAAACATATACTCTAATAATATTTTTACTAATATACATTTAAAAACTACTATTTAGAAAAAAATACAATTTAAAACGATTTATAAAACGTAAAGTTAAGCACGAAAAACGAAACGAAAGTATTGTTATTTGTATAAAAATAAATAAATAAATAATAAAATATTCAAATTAAATAAATATATTGTTAAACTTTGTTCACTTTTCTGCGTTTTTAGTAGTAAAAGTTTATATTTACAATTTATACATAGAAATAATTAAAAATAATTTATATTTTTCCATGTCATATGCAATTTATATTCTATGCCAAAATATACAAATAAACAAATCTATTTTATACTTTTTAATTAAGTATTTTTTTCTATAAACAATATATTTAATATTCAAATACAAAATATATGAATATGTTAACGTATAATGAAATGAAACTAGTTGTTACATTTCACTTGATATTTAATTTGTATAGTAATAATTCTTTTTTGTAACGGTATTAAAATAATGAATAATGTATGCATTTTATGAATTTTATTAATTATAAAAACATTTTGTGTCATAGCTTCCTTCCTTTTATTATCTTTATTAATTATTGTTTATTAAAATACAACCTCCTCTTCTTTTTTTTTTATAGAATATTAAGTATTATATTATAGTTAGATTTTTAATATGAATTTTTATGATGATAATTACTGAATATTGGATTCATACTGCTTATTATTTAATAAATTTATAACTAACGAATCGATAAATACACTTGTTTTATTTAATATGAAAATGAAGGTCAAAAGGATAAGAGAAGTAAGTTAGCAATAATATTATAAATTACTAGCTATACCTAGTGTGCTTCGCTACTGTACTCGTAATAAAATAATATAAATATTATTGTAAATTTTCAGTCATACTATGTATATGCAATATCAGTCTCATTTTCTATATTTTCATGCATATTTCTAGGTTCAATATTGCAGAAAATTCAAAAAGTATGAGAGTAAGAGGGAAAATTTATCGAAAATTTGGTCTTATGATTATAGTCTCAATTAGGGATACCAATCGGGATTGATTTTTAGAAATCCCGGTATTCGGAATTTATGAATAAATCCAAGAATCTCGACAACGGGATCCCGGACCTTTCGGGATTTCTAATACAAAAAGCTTTTCCAATAAGCATTTTGTGAACTTTATGAGAACAAATTAATCGAAAGTACTAAACATAATAAAAAAGTAATTAATATATTTACATCAATTTACACCAATTTCAGTTCTACAATTATTTGTTACAGTACAATTATTGACAACTAATCAAAGTCAACCACAGGCTTAGATTATAAATGTTTTCTAAAAATAATGCTGATTTTACGCGTCATAAAAAGTCTACAAAGAAAGCGTTGCTCTTGGAATGTATCGGGAAAATGCTTAAATTTCTTCTAAAGGCAGTACTAAGGCAAGCAAGTAATTATGTTTTTTTTTTTTTTTTTTTTTTTTTTGCTGCTTTATAATACTTTTATTTAAAAAAAAGGATCAAACATAAAAAATTTAAAATAATGTATAAATAGACTACCCCCGTACCGTGAAATATCGCTTGTAATGTAAATAAAAAATCAATATTTACGCGAAATGTGACGAATTGTCAGAAACAGTATGGCAGAAAAGTATGAGAAAATGTGTGTATGACATCATACGATTGGGAATTTTCGTTAACCAGTACGACTAAAATGGCTTACTGACGCTAAAGAACGGCAAAAATCGTGAGGAACGAAGTCCAATTCCCTGAAAATTGTTGTTGAATTATCGAATAATATAAAAGTTACCCAGGGAACCTAGTGGATAAGTTCAATTCAAAGGTCATTTCAATAAACACTCTACATACCAGATAGTCTTTTAAGAAACCTTACTTTCATATGAAAAATTAATCAACAAAACTGGATAAATTAAAAAAAAAATGGGTCGAAACTCTTAACATTACTTCTGGTGATTTTATTAACAAAGAAAGCAATACAAAAAAAACTTTAGACCATTTAAGGTTTTATTAATAATTAACTGCAACACAAGTTAAAATAGCTGTACACTTTCTTTTGACGCTCGCTGTATGCATTATATTATCAACAGTTATAAGAAACTGATATTAATTATCAAAACTGAACTCATCATTTCAACAAATTTAGAAATGGATTAATAATTTTAATTGAACATTTGACAGATCAGTTAGATCAGAGTAAGTCCACCGTAAAGTATGGTAAAAAGCCGTTTCTAGAACATAGAATATGAATAATAGTTTTTTCTTCAAATTAATTTTAACAACTTCTACAGAACTCGTTAAAGGGAAGACCCATGCGTCTTGCATGGTTTCCAATTAGCAAGAGCAATTGAGCAAATGTATTCATGTAACCATCAGTCTTGAGTTGAATATTGGATATATGGTTTTTAATGACTGGTGGGGGAGCACTACAGAACTGGTCTATATCCAGTATTGCCATCGTAGTTCCAGTCTTTAACAAGGTATCAGTAATATTAGTACCAGTTATATACCCGTGTCTTCTTACCCAAATAAAGGTGATTAACGTCTCACCTTCTTATTAGCAGAATGACTGCCAGTATAGATTCTAAAATACCCATTAGATATTCGATAGTATCCCTGCCTATTTATTGCCCTTTTTATTGATGATATTTTAGCTTGTAAGTTAGTAGAATCATATTAAGATTTTAAAAAGTTACTCAATGAATAAAGTTTAAAGGAGGCCGAAAAGTTTCAATTTTATGCTCCTGTTTATTTTTGAAAAAAAAAACTAATAAAATTATGTTATTTAATACTTTATAATGTATAAATGCAATGGAAAAACACTTCAACATCGCGATTTCAAAATCCCGAAATTCCCAGGGATTTCATTTTTGAAAATCCCGGTTTTCGGTATTTTCAAATGCCGAAAATTCCGGGATTTCGGGACTCGGGATTTCCTGTTTGGCATCCCTAGTTAGTTAGAAGAAAAAAGTATCAGAAAGACCCTTTTTTTTGATTTTCATACATCTTTAATTTTAATTTTGTAGATCCAATATTATCTAAATTTTTTTATAAACTTATATACTGAAGATTCTGCATGTTTAATTTCTTGGTTCTATGTTCAATATTATAGAAAACTCAAAAAGTGCCAGTTGAAAAACGGAAAGCACCAAAAATTCTATCAGATTTACATTTTCTCAGGAACCTGAACGTTAGAAATTTGTAACCGATTATGGCCAATAGGCTAGGTTTATTTTGGAAATAAATTAAATTTTATGTTTTTGTAGAATAACAAAAATGTAAAAACAAGTAAGAAAGTTTAGTCGGACATGACTGAATATATGATACCCTACATCATGAGTATATTTTAAAAATTATTTATTTTTCATAAATAAACTCTTATCTTGAATTTTACCTTAATTCCGATGGATTTAAGCAATTTATTGATAAAAAATAAATTTCTAAATATGTTTGACGTAGTTATGAGTTAAAAACACCAAATCGGAAGGTCAGGTTGTATGGGGGCTAGGTGAAATAATAGGCCGATTTCCAACCATTTTCAATTGTATCGAAAAACACGCACGATCCAAATTTTATCAAAATATCTTGAAAATTGTGGCATGTAGCTCGCGTACAAGGTTTACATGGATAGCCAGCTAGTCGGACGGACGGATATGTCTTAATCGACTCATAAAGTGATTCTGAGTCGATCGGTATACTTTGAGGTATACTTTGGTTGTAGGACCAATATTTTTGTGCCTTACAAACATCAGCACAAACGTATAATACCCTGCCCACAATAGTGGTGTAGGATATAAAAAACACTTTAAGAGATTCTCATTCACTCAAGTTTCTGTATGTATAATATTTTATTTCTATGTTATAGAAAAAATATAGAAAATCAGTACCATTTAATCCCTAATAGTGCCGAATACAACCAAAGAAGGCTTTATAGCTTGTAGTTTTATTAAACGTACTAGTATTTCTACAAAAAATCTGCAGATCTATAATTTATATGGCCTTAAACCATTTTTAAAATTTGGGACTCTTTTGACCCTGACCCCCCAAAGTAATTTTTAGCAAATTACTTTAAAGCCCGTAAATCACTTATGATAGCAAGTATTATGTTTAAATTAGGCATAAGTAAGTTTTATATAAACTTAAATCTGAACACAAAATTTCATGAGGTTCTGTGTTAACATTTGACCCTCCCTAATTCCCATATAACACTTCTAACTTTTTTGTATAAAAATGTTGTGAGTAAAATTAAAACTATTATGTACGATAACATTAAATGGATCGATTTTTCGACTTAGGGGTAGACTAGGCCTATTGATTCTTGGCCTCTAGGTAGAACCATTATATAACTACCACTGCACTGCGAAAACTCTAAGGAAATATATTGAAATCCCACTACCTTATATGTTTGGATAGAAATCTGTTTTTGTGGGCAAAATATTCAGCAAACCACTTCTGTCGTAAAAATATTACAAAAAAATATTTGCGCTTTATGAGTAAAAGGTTTTTTAACAAGAACTTATTTATTGGAAAGGAAATAAAAATAATTTATTTGAAAATCATTAAAATACTTATTGTATTAGGCCTCAGAAAATATAAATATTGATTATATTTGTTACGCATATTTCAAGTTTTTAGGCTATAACCGGAAATGTAGCCGGCGATACTTTTAGATAGATAAATATACCATTTCAAAGGCTTTTTTCTTGGGTCAAGAGAAAATTTTGTATTAAATTTCATCAATTTATCTTGAAAACAGCGACCATAGAAGTGCCCACAAAGTTTACGTGAACACACAGAGGGACGAACATAGCTTAACTCAGAAAGTGATTGGTATACTTAGAGCTGGATATACGAACAATACCATCCCAACTATAAAGTTCTAGATTTTTAAAACTTATTTCTAAAGTTTTTTAATGTAATGACAAGTTATTTTGGATCTTTAGTAATAACGGTAAAGTTACCAGGGAATATGTATATGGTTCTAAGGCAATTTCTTCCATTCTGAGGATAATAGCACTTATTAAAGGAATTATTGTTAGATATTGATGCTATTGGCCTTTTATAGCACAAAAGTAAATTTTTCGTGGATTTTTATCATCTCGACTAATGTACGGGCTCTATCTTTTTCCAGTTAATATGTATTTTCATTGTCATGGACTCATTTGCCCACGAAGTCGTTAACACATTGTCCGATTTTGACTTTAAAATTTTTATATCTTTCTTTTTCAAATCTGTATCACAATAATAAGCTAGTATACCGCTTAAAGCATACAAGTAGCTAAAATCTCAAAAAAAAAAAATTAAAATATTTTTTATTCAATTAAAAATTATTACATATAAACCGTTTCCGATTTTGTATTTGATTCATGATGTATAAATATATGTATGAATTGTTTTATCGAAGCCTGAAATAAATTTAAATTTAAAAAATCCCTGAATTATTCACTGCTAAATATTTCACTAAAATAGATTTATTTTAGTAAAAATCCTATTTTTTGCCCATGTATGTAAATCCTAGGTATTAATAAATGCATCATAAAAATAACAATCTAAATATATATTGAATCATATAAAAATATATCAAAATCTACTAACAATCACAACAAATATAAAAATTAAAAAAAAAAATAAAATTAACTTACGTTTCAGCTCTAGCTAAAGTCTTGAATATCTTGAGTCTTGAAAAATTTTGAGTCTTGAAATATCTTGAGTCTTGAGATTCTGGATTATTTAAATAATTGCTGCTACTTAATATTTACTATTAGCCGTCTTAAGCCTTACAAATTCATTTTTAAATCAAATCACTAATGCGAAACTAAAGTTCATAATTAACTGAAAAAGTTCCTATTATTTTCCCGACAAAACGACACACCCGTTTGCTCTATTAAACTATATCATCAATGCAAAGCTAAAGTTCTGAAGTAATTGAAAAGTTCCTGATTGAAAAACGACACTCCCGAACACTAAAGTTTTACAAACAAAACAAGCGAACGCGCACTTTTTAACCGATGTCTCCTGGTCCATGTCTACTGTTTCGTTTATTCCTTCAATAATTTGAAATTTTTAACATATTTATGGACGTCTTCCTTAACGTAAGGTTTAATGGCAATACAAGTGGGTATATTTTCCGGCTGCTCAATCCATAGTTTGTGTTGAATCTCATTTTCTTTCAGTTTATTAGCCAATTTTGTAAGTGCTGCTTCATCTTTGGCCTGGTAATGAGAAAAAATAACTGGTTAGTGAAAGAAACGGGGATACTAAACCACTCACCTCTAATACCACTTTGTGCATGTTGTCTAAATCCGCCAAATATGATTTTGTGGCGTCATCATCTGCATGCAAATGCATGACCGCAGTAGCAGCATGGCAACATTGAGCAATTACGGCACCCAGAGGCCAATTTAAGGCAGATTTCAAGTCGCTGCGAACAATTATGTATTGCACAATATTTGACATTGCTTTACAATAAACTTGGTATATTTTTGTAAAAGAAATAAATTTATTTTGCTAAAACTTTCTTGCAAAAAAACAACTTCACACAAATGAACGCGGTTACAGAGTCCTGCGCCGACAAATATTAACGACGGAGGCGACTGACACCAAATATGTCGGCGGCGGCTTAAAATCTACTGTAAGCCGGCTATGTTTTCAACTACAATTAGTTTTTAAATTTTCTACAATTTTAAATATAAACGGAATCCGAGAGATCAGAAAGTGGGATTTTGGAAGCAAATATATTGTTTATAACAACAAAACAGAACAAGCACAAAAGTTGTGTGAGAAATTATGCAGGGATGGATAAATTCTTAAAAATTAAAAACAAAGTTTTACGAGGATCGGCCTATATTTAACCCTATTCTCCATATAAAACTTCTTGCAGAAAATCAGTTTCTAAAAAATTTTGCATTAAGAAAATGATCAATAACGTAAAAAGTTTTTTTTACTAAAAACAAAGATATTTTATTTATTTATTTATTTATTTATTTATTTATTCAGTAATAAAAAAAAGCTCATTTGGGCAAAATAATATTACACAGTCCTATCTGTTCTGTAAACCGAATCCGAGTAAATCTCTCGTTTTAAAACGAATTCGCATAATTTTTCTCGTTTTAAAACCGAGTACACAAATCTAGTAGAAAGTAAATCGAGTGTAATTTTATTCTAATAAATAAAATAATTATTTTTCTTCGTTTTTTACCATAAATTGTAAAAGAGAACAAAATTGAGAAATAATCATGGAAATAATAATAGTTTCTCTTTGCCAAAACTTGTCGGCTTTAGCCAGAAAATTTTTTCCTGGCAATAGAAAAAAAATGTCAAATAAATTATTTGTTTAAAAAGTACATTGAAAACATTGAAAAATGTTTGAAATTTTTTATTTATTGAAAAAGAAATTTAGTTTTTTCTGTTCCCATGATGTAATAAGTGCATCCTGTCTGTTCCCGTACTTTTTACAAGTACGAAGACAAAATTCATTAATTTTCTTTAGCCAGAAAAGTTCTGGAACAAAGCTAAAATATGTTCTTTTTTCTGAATTCTACGTTCAAATAAAAATTCGATTTGAAGAACACCAAATTTTAAAAGTTTCAATAAGTGTTAAGATTTTCTTTAAAAAAAAGACGAACAGAACAACATCAATTAAAGGGATCACAAAGAGATTGAAAAATATTCCAAAAGTTTCACTTTGAAAACATTATTAGAGTGTATGAAAACTCGCAACTCTAAAGGCAGATTATTCCTATTTTGGCGGTAATTTCTTTATGATTAAAATAATTAAGAAGTAAGAGTTATACCTATTCGGCAAATCATATGTCGTAAAAAAGCAAATTTGACTTTGATCATTAGATTAATAAGAACGTCACCGTGATTTTCGGATTAGGGACTTAAATGTGGAATTGGGTCAATTATGGACAAAGTTCTCTATAATTTAAAGTACTTTTTTAATTCTATCATAGTGATAACTTTGGGAATGATGTATTATAGGGAATGGTAAATAGACTTCGATTATGACCATTAATCGATTATTGCTGTAAAAAATCGATTATTTTGTGATCGATTCTACACCACCAATTTTATACTGAAATCGAAATAAAAAGCATAATGTTTCAAATTTTTAATTATCAAATTTTACACAAATTATTTTTCCATAAATCTCTTAAATATTATGAAAATCGGTCCACATTTGTCGGCAGTCTCTATAAAAAACACAACAACCTATAGGTATAGCGATACAATTCTACACAAACAAGTTTTATGTGAACCATGGCATAGCTCTGCCATAATGTGAACCTACCATACATACATATGGGCAATTCCATGAAAAGGTAAACCACGACTGAAAAAATAAAACCCTTATAACTTCTGCATTTTTGAAGATAATTCAACACCTCGCCGCCATACAAACGGACCCGAAAATATCACTTTTTAGCTCATATTTCTATTAATTATAATACTATCCCTTCAAAAATCGGCGGATCTAAAATGTTTATAAGCCTAAACATTTATGCCTATTTTCATAACGATTGGACCTCATTTGACCCTAGTTCCATTCAAAGTTTAATTTCAGAAAAACACTTAAAAGTCCGTAACTTACTTATAAGCACTTGTATTATAATAAAATTTGGCACAAATAAAATGAATAAAACTCCAACCCCAAAATTTTATGAGAATCGGTCCATATTTAACACTAGTCGCCATATAACTTCTGTTTTTTAATTTAATCTATAAATTGCTTAAACATGAATATAGGTCGACCATGTCCGACTGCACTTTCCTACTCCTTTTGCTTTATTGAAGTGTGTGTATGTATATATTTCCAAAATATATATTTTATAACCTAAAAAAAATCAGGAGAAAAATCTCACATACGATGTGTCACGTACGATATTTCAAAATGTTCATTATAAAATTATATTATTTTTTTTTTTTATTTAAAAATTATGGATTACTAATGAACAATATGTCCCATAGTGTAAGAAATTAAAACAAAAAAGATACACCTACAGAATTCGCAGATTTTCGTAAATATTTACATGTACTTTAAAAACACTTCCGAATTTTTGTCACGTATGATATCACCATATTTTAATACATATTTTGGAAAACAAGGTTCCGAATGGGATGATTCCTTTTGCAAATATAGTATTCTTTAAATGGAACAGAATGACAAAATTGTTTTCCAAGTACTCCTTATTTTACAAAATCTATACCAAAATCTATACCACAAGCGTATGGAATTGCCCATATGTATATCTCTAATAAATTTCATGGAAACTAAAATCGCGTTGTTACCCCTCTTAAAATTTACTTTGCTATGTTTTAGAACGACTTTCAATATAGGTATTTGAGTCTAGCGATAACCATTCGTAAGATGGACCAATTTAAAAAAAAAGGTATTTTCTAATTATTTTTTTAAATTTTAGTATATGGCCTGCTAAGTTTTCACTACCTTTAGTTTTTAAATTTTAGTGTAATCCTTGGTAAAAAAAATATAATATTTTTCTACCATGGTGTAATCTATATAATAAAAATTTCATTATTCTAAATAAAATTTTAAATTGTTTTTTTTTTTTTAACTCTGTGAAAAATTTGTAATACAATATTTAAAGCGCCTCTCAATAACCTTTCCCATGATATCAAAATTTCTTATCATTCCTTTAGGTAAAATATAAACAAGTAAGTAAGAATTTATGTGATTATAAGTTATGTGATTATGTTAAAGATGTTAATTATATTTTTAATAATATTTAATTTAATTTTTACCTTAATTCAGAAATATTTTAAACATTTATTGACCAAAGAGGGGTTTTCTAAAAGAGGGGTTAAATGTTGGCAGGGGCTTATTGTGGTCCTATCCTTATAAAATTTTGTTAGATGAATTAATGAAATGGGAAATAAAAGTGATTTTAATTCTTTTTGCGTAGAGCCTTCCGTATAGCCTGAAAATGGACTTTTATGTTCTCACTAAAAAATTGAATTTTGGTGGGAAAAAAGAAGTGCTCAGAGATTTTAATCCTTTTTGGCCCGGGGCTTCCGTTTAGCCAGAAAATGGACTTTTATGTGCTCACTAAAAATCGAACTTTGGTGGGAAGTAAAAGTGATCACAGATTTTAATTCTTTTTTTCCCAAGGCCTTCCGTTTAGCCAGAAAATGGATTTCTATGTTCTCATTCAAAAATCGAAATCAAAGTGATCATAGATTTTAAAACTTTTTGCCCTAGGGCCTTCCGTTTAGCCAGAAAATTGACTTTTATATTTTCACTCAAAAATTAAATTTTGGTGGGAAACAAAAGTGATCACAGATTTTAATTCTTTTTGCCTTAGGGCCTTCCGTTTAGGCAGAAAATGGATTTTTATATTTTCACTTAAAAATTGAATTTTGGTGGGAAATAAAAGTGATCACAGATTTTAATCCTTTTTGGCCTAGGGCCTTCCGTTTAGCCAGAAAATGGACTTTTATGTTTTCACTCAAAAATGGATTTTTGGTGAGAAATAAAATTGATCACAGATTTTAATCCTTTTTGTCGTTGGGCCTTCCGTATTGCCAGAAAGATTGTAATTCTTTTAGCCCTAGGGCCTTCCGTTTAGTCAGAAAGTGGACTTTTATGTTTTCACTCAAAAATTGAATTTTGGTGGGAAACAAAACAGATTTTAATCCTTTTTTCCCAAGGCCTTCCGTTTAGCCAGAAAATGGACTTTTATGTTTTCACTCAAGAATCAAATTTTGGTGGGAAACAAAAGTGATCACATATTTTAATCCTCTTCACTCAAAAATGGATTTTTGGTGAGAATTAAAAGTGATCACAGGCTTTAATCCTTTTTGCCCTAGGGCCTTCCGTGTAGCCAGAAAATGACTTTTATGTTTTCACTCAAAAATTAAATTTTGGTGGGAAACAAAAGTGATCACAGATTTTAATTCTTTTTAATTCGTTTAGCCAGAAAATGGACTTTTATGGTTTCACTCAAAAATCGAATTTTGGTGAGAAATAAAAATGACCACAGATTTTAATTCTTTTTGCCCTAGGGCCTTCGGTTTAGCCAGAAAATGGACTTTTATGTTTTCACCCAAGAATCGAATTTTGGTGGGAAATAAAAGTGATCACAGATTTTAATCCTTTTTGCCCTAGGGCCTTCCGTTTAGCCAGGAAATGGATCTTTATGTTTTCACTGGAAAATCGGAATTTGGTGGGAATTAAAAGTGATCACAGATTTAAATTCTTTTTGCCCTAGGGCCTTCCGTTTAGCCAGAAAATTGGCTTTTATGTTTTCACTAAAAATCAATTTTGGTGGGAAACAAAAGTGATCACAGATTTTAATCCTTTTTGCCCTAGGGCCTTCCGTTTAGCCAGAAAATGGACTTTTATGTTTTCTCTAAAAAATTTAATTTTGGTGGGAAACAAAAGTTTCACAGATTTTAATCCTTTTTACCCTAGGGCCTTCCGTTTAGCCAGAAAATGGACTTTTATGTTTTCACTCAAAAATTAAATTTTGGAGGGAAACAAAAGTGATCTCAGATTTTAATTCTTTTTGCCCTAGGACCTTCCGTTTAACCAAAAATGGATTTTTATATTTTCACTTAAAAAT